ATGTTGAATAAATACAAAAGAAGGTGAAGAGACAGTGAAGTATACTACTGTATAGCAGGTCGGGGGAACTGCATCCAAACTGCAAGCTGTTGCTACTGAATTAGAATTACATGAAAAGGGAAATGTTTTTATTCTATGTATCAGGAGAAGTGATTGTGCTTTGTTTGATCATTAAGAGGTAGGCTATTGTTAATGTATTTTTTATTATTTGAATGCCAAATTAAGACGAGACTTTTACTGTAAGTATTGCAAAGAATGCAAAGAAACAAACTGTTGTCACAGAATGTATAGAATAACTTCACTATCGAATAAATCAATAAACAAATGTCAAGAGATTTACATATAAAAATCATTTCTATTCTATATTCTGATAATTATCCACCACATATACTGAAACACCTTCAATCTCATTCATAAACAAATAGGTAACAGGTTACAAGAAATTATAAAATGACGGATCAAGATCAACCTGTGATTAGTGGAGAAAACCCAATCTAACTGACTGAAAAGCTTGTTGCCAGAGTGGCCTGTCAGCAGAGATATTATGAAAACTGTGGATAGGAGATTTTGAGACACAGTTGATTTCCTTTAAAACTGCTTAAAAACCCTTTTTTCAAAATCTGACAAAATGTGTGACACCTTTTTGGCGCAAGGCTAAAGAAGAATGTGCTTGCCTTCTCAATAAATTGGGCAAATCAGAAGCACATCTGTTCAATTCAAATATGCAACTTAAGAAACAGCTCTAGCTTTCAGTCTGCTGATTGCATTCAAACCTCAGCTTTGTTTATAAGCTATTTAATCTGCTCCCACAATTTCTTTCTTCCTGGCTCAACTGGGATTGAAATCCCAGTCCTACATTTTCACTCTTTCCAACAAAATACCCTTGCTACTTTTATTCCTGAATTCAAATCATTAGGGCTACAAAATGGAAAGACGGGTCTGAACATTTATATATATATTTATATATATTCTGTTTTAATTTGGTTTAAAAATCACACAACTGTATTTCAAATATAATTTCACTTTGCCAAATTTTCCAGAAGTTGTATATACTGCTTTCGACTTCGAGTGAAAATCATAAAGTTTGATAAGGTTATCTGATGGGTTTTTTTTCAGCATTAACAAAATCTTGATACTGACAAAATTAAATATTACTTAACATGCAAAAATGTGTTCTGAATTAGTATGTGATTTTTGTAAACCTTGATGTCCATTTCGTTTGATGATGACACATTTTTATTTCTACCAACAGAACCAGTCACTGATGTAACCGTCTCTCTACTAAGTCCAGACTTGGTTGAATTCAACAGCTCAGTCCGTCTATCCTGCTCCTCCTCCTCTGGAAATGAACTCTCCTTCAGCTGGTTGAACGGCAGCTCTGTGGTTACTCCCAGTGACAGGGTTCAGATCACTGATGGAGGAGCAAATCTGACTATAGTTAATGTGACCCGCTATGACCAGGGATCATACAGCTGCAATGTGTCTAATCTTGTCTCTTCTAAAAGCAGTGATCCAATAGAAATCAATATCAGCTGTAAGTTTTAATCTACATGTTCACTATCTGCTTAGATTTTCTTGTAACCATCAGCAATCAAATCAAGATCATATACCTTGTTAAAAGTATTTTCAAGATTTTCATTAACAGCAAAATCTACAATACACATCATCTTACTCTGCTTTTGATTGTTTGACCAACTTTCTGTATGTCTTTAATTGATATTGGCAAATAGGTATATGTGTAATGTCTTATCATTACTTGTCCAGTGGATGACATTTTCTTTACAACTTTTTTTTTTCTTTTCTACAATAAGATGGTCCAGAAAATGTAAGATTAGAAGTGAATCCATCAGGAGAACATCATAAGACTGGGTCAAACATCACTCTGACCTGCTCTGCTGATTCGACACCTTCTGCTGAATATCAGTGGTTTCTGAATGGAGGCGCTCTGCCTACAGCTGGACCAGAACTCAGTCTGATGAAAATTCAGTTGAATCAAAGTGGAAACTACAGCTGTCAGGCCTTTAACAGCAAAACCCTGAGATATCAAACATCTCCACCTTCAGCTGTCTATGTACTTGGTAGGCATGAAACATTTTTTTCAAATCAAAAATTAGTGGACAAAGATCTATCCTTCAGATGAAAATATGTAGGACAATTCATTGCTATCTGTCATGGCTTGGCAGCAGTAAAGTAATAATTAGATCACATTTATGTATTAAGATTTATTAGCGTCATTAATTGATATATATTCATGAAACTAAAACCTTTAAATACACTTTAAGAGAGATGGTCTTTGTCATCTACATCTGCTAACTTATATTCCTCATAATGTGAGGAATAACTAAATTCAATTCAGTTTATTTATATAGCACCAATTCACAGCACATGTCATCTCAAGGCATTTTACAGTTCACCAGATGATACAGTCAAATTGATTCAAGTTATTCTATCTTTATTGATTTCATCAACTAATTGACTCAAATGCAATCCCTCACACTAAGCATGCTTGTAGCGACAGAGGAGAGGAAAAACCGCCTTTTAACAGGAAGAAACCTCCAGCAGAACCAGGCTCAGTGTGAGCGGCTGTCTGCCAAGTAAAGAATGCATATATATTTACTTTTCAGACATAAGTACTGAAAGGTCATTACCAACCACTGTAATCATCCTGACCAAACAATTTAGATACAAAGTAAACTAAGAGCTATGATTTCAGACTGTGGAAGGAAGCTTGAGTATCTAGAGGAACCCATAAATGCACTGGGAGAACATGCAAACTTCATGCAGAAATACCTTAGCCTAGGAATTGAACCCAAGGCGGTCTGCTGCAGGGCCCCAGCAAGGCAACTCACTGCTTTGGTCATCACTAATATATACATTTATTGTACATAAATCTAAGTTAAAGGATGGTTGGAATGTATCACAGGACCTCTCTTCACCCATTGATGCACTTCCACCTTAGAATTTTCTGCCCCTGATGCCCAAAACACATTCAGTCTGAATGCAGTATTTTATGTGTACCATCAGTCCTACTCTGCTCTTGAATATCGATTAACTTTTTGCATGTTTTTACTTGATACTGACAATTTATCTCCGGTAATGTACTCTGGGACTGAGGTTTGAAAGGCCTCTATTCAGAACTCTGGCTAGGTCCATCAAAGACATTAATAATAGTTAATTACACACATTAATATTCCAAATATACCAGGATGATTAATTATTTTGGGCTTAACTATTGCTCAATACTGTGAATTAGTAAAGAAAATAATGAAACAGGTACATTGAAACCTGATTTTACACTGACAGTATATTATTTGAACAAGGTATTAGAATATAATGCTAATTTTTTTTTTATTAACATGGGATCCAGCACAACTTCTTATCTTTAAGGTTTTGTCATTTTTTTTATCTGGAAAGCTTGTGTTTTCTCTTTGATAAACCTGCAAATTTTTCCTGGTAGCTGTCTATACATGATTTAGCAGTTTATACAAATCATTAGGGGTAAACATAAATTGTCAAATAAAATGTAGATTTTTCTTTGTTTTATTGATTGATTTTATTATTTTTTTTCCACCTGCAGATCCTGTCCTTAACGTAAAAGTTACTCCAGAATCCTCCGACTTGATTGAGTTTAGTAAATCCGCCAGCTTCGTCTGCACCTCGTCTGGATCATCTCCCTCCTTCCGTTGGATGAAAGACTCCTCTGAGATTACAGCCAGTGACAGAGTTCAGATTACTGATGGAGGATCCACTCTGACTATTGTCAATGTGACCAGAAATGATGATGGATCATACAGCTGTGAAGTGTCCAATCCTGTCAGCAATGCCAACAGTGATAAAGTAAAGCTCTCTGTCAGCTGTAAGTTTTTCACATATGATAATCTCTTTTTAAAAGAAAGAAAATGCAACTTAAGCAAAGCTTAAAAACTTTTTTAGCTATTAGTCCAAAAACGAAGGTTGTTAAAATAAGCTTTAACTAACAATAATGATCATGATGTTAGTATTTATATTTAGTTAATCATCATTAACTATTAAATAAGTATTTTCTACAATTTCAGATGGCCCAGAAAAAGTCAAATTAAAGGTTAACCCTGAACCTCATAAACCATATGTGGAAGGTTCAGACATCACCTTGTCCTGTTCGGCTGACTCCAGACCTGCTGCCGTGTTTAGTTGGTTCCTAAATGCAAAACTTCTGCCTGATTCTGAACATGAGCTCAAGCTAATCAGTGTTCAGAGGAATCAGAGTGGAAACTACAGCTGTCAGGCCTTTAACAGTAAAACCACAAAAAAGCAGACATCTGAACTTGCATCTATCTCTATAGTGGGTAAGTCACAGCACAGTCACAAACAGTACCAAGTTTTACTTGGATTTTAAGTCACAGAAGGAGAAATCAATACAGAGATTGTTTTATATATTTATAACAAATTCAAAAGAGCATTTGTATTCAGCACCCTAACACCTTGTAAGACTTCATGCTCATTGCCTTAACCACTACAGTGGAGAAATTTATATAAAGAAAAGTTTTATATATTTGTTGATTATTGCCCATTGTTTTAGACAAATTGTTTTAAATTCCATTAACTTTGATATCATGCATCTGTGGAAGTCTATCTATGGAGTGATTTCTATTTCCTTTCTGGGCTTTTTTTTCTCTAATACATAATACATAAATGTGTATTTTGATCTATATTTTTCAATGTTTGCTCTGCCTCTGTGTTTAGGATAGTTTTGCTGCTGGACACTTAACCTCCACTACAGTGCCAAAATTTTGCAGACTTTAGAATTTTTTTTAAATCTCATGATTACCCCTTATTAAGACCTTTCCATTTTACTGTTAAGTGCAAAGGATTTGAAAGTAAATTTTGAAGAAATGTATTCTGCCAGCATTATTCCATAGCACCATGCTTCACTGCTGGATTAGTGCAGAATCTGTTTTCCGCCATATAGTGTGTTGCATATTGGCAAGAAGGTTATTTTCTTTCCAATTGATTGATTAATTTGCATTTAAGTTGGAATCTAGAATAGGAGAAACCTTTTTCAGGCAATGTAGGATTGGGGCTGATATAAAACCAACCACAATCATGTTACTTTTTCATATGCATCTCTAACTCTACCTACTCTCCTATAAATGTGCTTCTATTTTTAGCTCAGAATTGTACACCTTTTCCACTAGTTAACCACCCCTATTATAGTGCCTCTGGAATATTTGTGTATATTTAAAATCTAATATTATGATTTAATTTGAACGCAATGAAAAAATGAATGTGACACAATACCTTATGGACTTCTTCCCTGTTCCACACGAATGAAGAGACTCTATATGTATTTGTGCTTTGCTTAATTCAGGACAGGGTTGCAGGGGCAGCAGTCTCAGTAGAGGCTGCCAGACTTCCCTCCTCCGAGGCCCCTCCTCCAGCTCTGCTGGGGGAAGTCAAAGGCACTTCCAGGCCAGCTGAGAGAGATAGTCTCTCTATCTAGCGTGTCCTGGGTTATACCCTGAGCCTCTTCCTGGAGGGCATGCCTTAAACACCTCCCGAGGGAGGCAGACAGAGGGCATCTGAAAGATGTCTGAGCGACCTCAGCTGACTTCACTCTATGTGGAGGAGAAGTGGGTCTCCTCACCCTATGAGGAGCGCCTAGCAACCCTGCAGGGAAAGCTTATTTCAGCCGCTTGTAATTGGGATGTCTTTAACAACAGTATTGTGCAGTGTACACATAATGAACTGGAGACAATATAGGCAGCCTGTTAGCCTGTCATGGTAGCAGCTCATGAACCTGGTGGTGGACACTGGCAGTAAGGGATGCTGTCAATTTGAAGAAGAGGTCATGTCAAGACTCTTAGGCTTGTGGGACTCCTGGGGCAGCATCATATATTGTGAAGACAAGCATGATACTTTCTGGGCTGTAGCCTGGTAGGATTTTTCAGAGACCATGGAGAAAGACTGTCGGTCGGCCTAAAAACTATTTTGTCAATTTGTCCTGCGCCTCTGGAGGGGGAAGCATTGTTGTCCATAAATATGGACAATTTGGAGACAGAGGAAGGAATACTTTTAGGATCTCTTTAACTGGGATGGATTTATTTATCTATGTACGTTTGATACAAAAAAGTAATCATTACCTGGAAATCTGACGTTTTCGTGTTAAAATGTCTGTTTTGGTTTTTGGCTTTAATTAAAACCTGTCCGAAAATTCAGAGTGTGAAAGTAGCTTGGTTTTTAAACCTGAAGTGCTACAAGAGCATGCCTCCAAAAAGTATTTGATCTTCCTCTTCTATTGATTTCAATCCTGGAAGTTTGCTAACATTAGCATCCTGTCTCTGTTTCACCTGGAGGGTCGATTCCATCAATCAGGAACTCACCAGTAGGCAGTCAGTACGTGTTGCTGCTTGTGTTACGTTTTAACTATTTTGTATTGAGACCAAGCAATTACCAGTTAATGACTTCTTTAAGGCTCAGATGTTTTCTTTTAGCTCTGAATGTCTTTGTCTGTTAAAAATATGCATTAAGCCCCAAAATTACTGATTTGAAAATGATTTGATAATTCAAATTGAAAATCAATCAGGTTAGTTTTAATTATATTGTAAATAATTATTGCCCATTCTACTATGACCTGGTGAGAAAAAAAAGAATGCAGAAATAATAGTTAGTTGCTCACATGTAGCACTAGGACTGCTAAACATCATGTGCACGATGGGATGAACTGGTCGGTTTTTTGTCCTTTAATGGCCAGAGCAGCTGTTTGTTTCTTGGGCGTTACACAAAGTGCTTTAAACAGGACTGCAATATACTCAAATATATTTTGATATAGTTCTTCATTACTAAAAATGAATACTGATTCTTATATTAGAAAAAGGTTAAATAAAGCTGCAGGATGAGGCACTATATTGTAATTAAAACCCAAAAAGTCCAAGTGCATTTTTTCTAAAGATATTGCTTAGGAGTATGCATTTCACTATACTGTATGTAGCTCAGAATGTACTTTATTTCTGTCTCCGGTGACATAAAGGTTTCACTCTCCTCAGTAGAGAAATTGGTAGAAAAGAACTTGAGCAAAAAAAACAAAACATCTTTTGTTTTTGCTGCAAGGGAACAAATCATAAACTGAGGGGGACTTTTAACAATACACTTTGCACAGGTGCATATTTACCGTAAATATGGGGAAGTTTGTTTTTTTTAACTTGAACCTAAAATGTTAGATCATCTTCTTCAGTAACTTGATGTTCACATCATGATGCTGAATAAGCAGTTTAATCAGTAAAGTTTTGTTGTTGTTAAACAGAATTTGAAATATTGAAATGTAGACTAAGAGTATTGAAATGTAGCGTCAGAAATGCAAAAGTACGGAACCGTATTGCATTCACCAAAGGGAAAAAAAAAATCTGTATCTCATAATTATAAGAGTTTGAGGCAATTATTACAAAAGGAGATTTTAGTCATATGTAAATACATTATGAAGTCCAAATTTATGACATTTTTATAATAATACCGCAGTCAGTGGTCGAAAGCAACAAAGTACATTAACTTGAGGACTGTTCTTAAGTAATTGTACTTGAGTAATTATTTTTTTTTTTTTTTGGGGGGGG